AAAAAAAAAAAAAAAAAAAAAAAAAAAAAAAAAAAACATCTTAGTAAAACCAATACCTTCTCAGCTCCGCATCGAAGCTAAAAAACCCCTTTTTGTAAAATCAATACCTTCTCAGCTTCGCATCGAAGCTAAAATATATAGTGTTCTATGACTATATTTTTTAGTATCTGTGAACGCTCAATCTCAGCTCTCGCTGAACCGATTTTGATGAACATAACATCAAAAGATCACAAATCGCATCTAGTAAGACATTACCTTCCAAAATTGAAAACGTTTCTCTCGTACCGTGTAAATGGGGTAAATCCTCCAAAAAATTACAAATGTAAAAATCGCTAATTTTTGACATTTTTAAATTTTTTTTACTTAAAACTGCATTAAATTTCTAAAAATGGCCGAATCTATATAAATTTTTTATAGATGCATGATGTCTTTACCTTTCATTTGGTATATTTTTTTATAAATCTGACCCTTTGCCTGCCTACAGGGAGGATTCAAAATGATAACTTTTTCACAAAAAATTAATTTTTTCAAATTGACTTTTGAAAATGTTCCGGAAAGTCTGACACTTTTATATATATCTTAAATTAAAGCTAATGTAATGTACTTTATTATAAAAAAAAAAATTCGGACTTTATTTTGTCTTCACGGTGAAAATGGCTACCAAATGCTATTATTGTGTGAAAATTCTCGATTTTATTTTTATATTTTTAACTTTATAATGTTATAACTTATTGAAAAGCGTATGGATCAACATAATTTTTCTGTGAGAAATACTATTTTTTAATAATCCCTTTTTCATTCGACATACTTTATCTTAATCAGGATATTAATAAGGAACTAGCAGATTATGTAGCTTTTGGAATAATCCACCAATTTTTTAAAATTAAACACTATCTAAAGATTTGCATCGAAGCGTTTTTTTTTTATAGTGATTTTAATCACTGTCAGATGTCATTATACTTGATCCAACTATGCCACGTCATCACTGTGCCGCGACCCCCCTGTGCTGGGTTTTTTATAATACTGTAATAATTAGTATACTTTATACGAAAACAATTTGTTTTTAACCAACCAATGTTAAAATTTTGGACTTGTAAGATTCATAGAATGGTATACTGTCTAAGGAGTAGTGGAGGGAGCCTCCCACAAGCTTTTCATGGGAAACAAATTATGGAAAATGATACAAGGGCCCAAAATTGTTGGCCCCTCCAATAAATATTTTCTGGCTACGTGCCTGCGTGTTACATAAGACATTTGGCGTCCAAAATTCACTTAAGTTCTCTGGAGAAATATAAAAGTAAAGACGATACGCAGATTGCAATGTACTAGTAAAATTCGGCGGAGTAACAAAAATATATTTACCACACGCATAACAAAATTTATTGGGGTTATTTTTACACTTATATTGACGTTTATTCGAACTCATTTTTATCTTTATTAAGAATAAACGTAAAATAGTTATATGAATTATTTAAATATCATAGAAAAAATGAATATATTAATAGAATATAGAACGCTTCTATGACCAAAATAAATTTATCCGTTTTATTTCAAATGACAAAATGTTCAGTGCTACCAATTAGTGATGAGCAGTGAGGCCAAGGCGAAGTTTTTTGGTTCGTAATTCAAAATTTCATTTTGAAGGAAATAACCTTAAGTTATTTAAAAAATCAAAATTTTGTTTTGAAAAGTAATATTGTGAGTAATTTTTCTATATTTTACAAAATTAAAGCATCGAATTAGAAAACTCTCATATTAGGAAATTTGTTTTATTTTTCAATTGCGCATAACTTCTTCATTTTTTTATCAATTTCACAAAATAATATATCATTATCTTTGTTATGTATTAGAGTATAACGTCTATTAAAATTATTGTTGATAAATTTATTTTTTATTGGTGTATTTTACGTAAAACTCTGAATTTTTTCTGACATTTTGAAAAAAATGATAAATATTCAGTGATAAATTCGTGGATAGCAAACGACAAAAAAGTCAAATAAAAAATTGTTTAAAATAAAAGTTATAGGTAATTTAATATTGTTTAATTTTTTGTGAAAAAAATGAAAATCGGTTGAAAGCAATTAAAGATATTTAGAATATAATGAAAACGTTTTTTCGCGGTACACGAAAAACGCTAATTTCGCAATAACTCAAAAACTGTTCTACTTTTTGTATTTTGGACATCATTTTCGGACTCAGTGGATGATTTTACATAAAAAATGATTATCATAAGTCATAGGTCAGAAAATTTTTTTTTATTTGTAAACATTTTTTGATGCTTTTTTTAGATTTTTTCTATCTTCTCATTTATGAAATTATTACTAATAGGAAAACGAGTATTTACTCATAAATACTCGTAAAATTTATTTTAATAAGTTAAAATAATTAAGTATAAACAAAAAAAAATGTTGTTATTAAGTTATACTTATTTTTAATTTGTCAAAAATAAATTGCGCAAAAATTCGATTTAAAATGTTATATTTAACCTATTTTATTGATCCTTTAAAATTCATTTTTATGAAAGTTTATAATTGAAAAGTGTTGAACTTTTAAACACTATTTTATCTCGATTTGAAAGTTTAGAATTGATACCATTATATAGAAAATTTTATGAGGATTTAAAAAATCGTATTTTTTAGTTTGATATGTGTTAAGGAAGTTTTACAATTACTATTTAGTAAAATTTTCTATTTAATGATGTTAATATCTAACTTGAAGTTGAGCTAAAAAATAGTTATGGTAAAAATATCAATCTTTTTTTATTAAACTTTAAAAAAATAGGTTTAAAATATTTGGAAATCGGTGCAAAACTGGGTTTAGAAAAGTATATTTTGGTCTAGGAAAGGAATTCCTTGTAGACCAGTCAATTTATTAATAAATAACAAACAATTTTTATTTTTTAAGTATTGTATCAAGACCTTAAATTTTTATATACGTTTGCAATAAAAATAATAATTACTTTATAATTTTTTATAATTTCTCCGTAAAAATTACAATATTATAATACTATTTTACTGTGATAACGTTTTTGTTTTTAACAATTATTGAATTATTATACTTATATTAAATCATAATTTGTATTATTTCCTACTAATAAGTACTTGTGTATGTGCACTATTTTTGCGTTACACATCTAATCTATTTATTTAAATACTTGTAATTTTAAAGCATTTAACCTAAAGTTGTTATAAATTCATAAAAAATTGTTATAAAAATTGGCTAAAAAATAGCTTACTTTGATTTCAAATAAATTAAAAATTCAAAAATAAATATTTTTTCTTATATTAGAGTTATATAATTAAAATAATTTTCTTATTTTTTTGGAGATTTCCCCCATTTACGGAGAACGAAGGAAATTTTTTCAATTTTTGAGGGTAATGTCTAAGACTAGATACGATTTGTGATCTTTTGACGTATCGTTGAAAGAAATCGGTTCGATGAGAGCTGAAAAAAAGTAGTGACACAAAAAAAAAAACACGTAATGAAATTAATAACTTTCCAGCTTCGCATCAGAGCTAAAAAGTTCCTATTAACTGTCGTACGTCGGTAGTGCCCCAACGTAGACACAAAGGTTTATTAAAGTTTTATATATATATATATTGACGACGAGTTCGTCGTTCGAGCTCTTCTTGAGTCCTCCCGTTGGATAAACCTTCTACACTTGGTTCTGCGTTACTCTCTACGATTATTAGTTTATCATTAGAAGAGTCATGAATAACTTGCTCAATTTCAGCTGGACTTAAGTTAGGTTTTATATCTGACAATTTAAGTTGCGCTCTAAAGTATCTAGCTAAACGTGTTCTTAAGTCATTTACGTTTCCTAATTCGTCTAAGTTTTTACTTTTACACAAATTTATAAGATCATCTTTTTTTAATGAATATATATCACTAATTTTGTTTAATTTAAATTTTTGAATTTCATTAATATTCATAATAAATCATAATAATTAAGTAATCAAATTAATATTCTAGAAAGTCGAAATTAATTTTTATTAAAATTATT